CTCCCCTCCCCCCTGGAATTTATCTGCGCCTGGTACCTCGCACCACCACAGATGGCTGGTGCCTTTGCTCCCACTTGGCTTGCTTCTGGGCTGGGCCCTTGCTGTCGTTGGCCCCACTGCCTCCCCCACTGGTACTGACCCCAGTACCTGCCCTGTCTCTCTCCTACCCAGACTCTCAGGGTATGTCTACACTACCCTCCTAGTTCGAACTAGGAGGGTAATGTATGCATACCGCACTTGCTAATGAAGCCCGGGATTTGAATTTCCCGGGCTTCATTAGCATAAGCGGGGAGCCGCCATTTTTAAATCCCCGCTGCTTCGAACCCCGTGTAGCGCGGCTACACGGGGCTCGAACTAGGTAGTTCGGACTAGGGTGCCTATTCCGAACTACCGTTACTCCTCGTGAAACGAGGAGTACCGGTAGTTCGGAATAGGCACCCTAGTCCGAACTACCTAGTTCGAGCCCCGTGTAGCCGCGCTACACGGGGTTCGAAGCAGCGGGGATTTAAAAATGGCGGCTCCCCGCTTATGCTAATGAAGCCCGGGATTTGAATTTCCCGGGCTTCATTAGCAAGTGCGGTATGCATACATTACCCTCCTAGTTCGAACTAGGAGGGTAGTGTAGACATACCCTCAGTGACTCTGGCCCTGACCTCTGGAGCAGCCTCCTGGCACCCACTATGCAGCAGCGCGGCTCTGCGTAGTTGGTGGGCAGGGGGAATCTAAGGGTACGTCTAAACTACATGGCTCCGTCGATGGAGCCATGTAGATTTGTTTGTTTGGCAAAGGGAATCGCGGCTTCATTTAAATTTAAATGGCTGCCACGCTGAGCCGACAAACAGCTGATCAGCTGTTTGTTGGCTCAGCGCGCTAGTCTGGACGCTCCCCTGCCGACATGAAAGCCCTTTATTGACCTCCCCAGTAAACCTCATCCTACAAGGCATAACGGAGAGGTCCATAAAGGGCTTTCAGGTCGGCGCGGGAGCATCCAGACTAGTGTGCTGAGCCGACAAACAGCTGATCAGCTGTTTGTCAGCTCAGCGCAGCAGCCACTTAAATTTAAATGAAGCCGCGATTATTTAAATTGCGGGTTAATTTCCCTTTGCCGATCAGCCTAATCTACATGGCTCCATCAATGGAGCCATGTAGTTTAGACTCACCCTAAGTGCACAACTTAGAGGGAACCCTGGATGTGACAGCCTTCCACTGTGGCCTGAGCAATTGGTATAGGTTGTCGAGCAGAAAATAAAGCCATTGTACCATTCAGCAGGTTTGCCTTTATTGATCACGGCAAATCATGGTCACACACCTAGGATGAATGTTTGCTGGTAAGGGAGGGTTAGGATTAGGGGAAAGGCTCACAATAGTCTGAAGGTCCAGCTGTCAAAGCGGTGGGGAGTCGAGTGGGGTGGAAAATGAGCATTCCCAGACAATGAAAAAGGGAGTATGTGCATAGAAGGTGAGTTGCTGGAAAAGAATTCTGTATATGCTGCAAGGGAGACCGATGCCAGTTCTGTTCACTTTGCATTTTGATTAAACACTTCAGTATCTGTTTGGTCCTCTATTACCTTGATCATACAGTCAGTGATGTGTTTTCTGTTTTTCATCTCCCTTTTCCTACCTCTCCTCCCTTACGTGCACTTGCATTGATGAATGTTGCAAAACCTCTTTCACAATCTCTTCCCTATTCCTTCTCAGCCTCCTCTTCAGTTGACACAGTCTGTCAGCGGGAGAAGTTTTGTGAGTATTCAAGGTCTCCTCTGCCATACAGAATGTAACAAAAGAGGGATTTTAAAATTCCTGCTCAATATGGAAATATTTCACTGAAAAGCACCTTTAGCAACATAAGCTGCCACTTGGCCACTAGGGATGTGAAAAGGTAACCAGCTACCTGGTTACCTGGTAAGCATCACCCTGTGGGACCAGCAGCTGGGAGCCCTGTGCAGGATTGGGAGTGGGAGCCCTATGTGGGACTGGCAGAGCCGGTAGCCCTGTGAGCAGGGGGCTGCTCCAGGTGGGCTGGAGAGGTCCCTACAGGAGAACAGGATTTTACAGGATTTTAAACTAGGCAAATATAACTTAGATAGGGCTACTTAGAGAGTAGTTATAAATGGTTCACAATCCTGCTGGAAAGGTATAACAAGTGGGGTTCTGCAGGGGTCTGTTTTGGGACCGGCTTTGTTCAATATCTTCATCAACGATTTAGATATTGGCATAGAAAGTACGCTTATTAAGTTTGCAGATGATACCAAGCTGGGAGGGGGTTGCGACTGCTCTGGAGGATAGAGTCATAATTCAAAATGATCTGGACAAATTGGAGAAATGGTCTGAGGTAAACATGATGAAGTTTACTAAAGACAAATGCAAAGTGCTCCACTTAGGAAGGAACAATCAGTTTCACACATACAGAATGGGAAGTGACTGTCTAGGAAGGAGTACGGCAGAAAGGGATCCAGGGGTTATATTAGACCACAAGCTGAATATGAGTCAGCAGTGTGATGCTGTTGCAAAAAAAGCAAATATGATTTTGGGATGCATTAACAGGTGTGTTGTGAGCAAGACACAAGAAGTCATTCTTCCGCTCTACTCTACTCAGTTGGAGTACTGTGTCCAGTTCTGGGCACTGCATTTCAAGAAAGATGTGGAGAAATTGGAGAGGGTCCAGAGAAGAGCAACAAGAATGATTAAAAGTCTAGGGAACATGACCTATGAAGGAAGGCAGAAAGAATTCGGTTTGTTTAGTTTAGAAAAGAGAAGATTGAGGGGGGACATGATAGCAGTTTTCAGGTAACTAAATGGGTGTCATAAGGAGGAGGGAGAAAACTTGTTCATCTTGGCCTCTGAGGATAGAACAAGAAGCAATGGGCTTAAATTGCAGCAAGGGAGGTTTAGGTTGGACGTTAGGAAAAAGTTCCTAACTGTCAGAGTGGTTAAACACTGGAATAAATTGCCCAGGGAGGTTGTGGAATTTCCATCTCTGGAGATATTTAAAAGTAGGCTAGATAAATGGCTATCAGGGAGACAGTATTTGGTCCTGCCATGAGGGCAGGGGACTGGACTCGATGACCTTCAAGGTCCCTTCCAGTCCTAGTATTCTATGATTCTATGATCCCTATTTTCCACTGACCCATCTCTGCAGTCCCTGTGAACATAGTGGCTGTGTCTAGACTGCATCCCTTTTCCGTAAAAGGGATGCAAATTAGACACATCGCAATTGCAAATGAAGCGGGGATTTAAATCTCCCCCGCTTCATTTGCATAAAAATGGCTGCCGCTTTTTTCCGGCTCGGAGCGTCTAGACTAGCGTTTTTTTCCGGCAAAGCTCCGAGCCGGAAAAAAGCGGCAGCCATTTTTATGCAAATGAAGTGGGGGGGATTTAAATCCCCGCTTCATTTGCAATTGCGATGTGTCTAATTTGCATCCTTTTTACGAAAAAGGGATGTAGTCTAGACACAGCCAGTGGGTTTGGGGGACGGGAACAGGGGGCATGAGGGGTGTGCTCAGAGCCATAAGAAAGTATAGTCCTATGTTTTGCAACAGGTTTGTGTGGAAATAATTCTAATGATGCCCCACTTGTCCACAGGCCGGCATCATTCTTGCTGATATCTCATTCCTAAGTCTGAGCAGGGAAACCCAGTCTTTCCTGGATGCTAGTGGGGTTTGCCTGGTTTCCTTATGTAGGCCAACTCTGTGCCACTGTAGATCCTGCAGTACTGATTGAAGAATGGTTTAGGAGAGCATCATATCACTGGGTTGAGGAAACGGTGGCACTGTCATGGAATCTTCATGAGAAAATTAATTCATACCTCATACAAAGTTTCCAGAGCATCTCTCTGCAGGATTCAATTGACATCTCAGTGTGCCTCAACACCCTGATTGAACAGAATATCTAGCTATACAGGGCTAAGCCAGGACATAGAAACACAGCCACCCTCCTTCATTTCTGTGGCTCCTTCCCCCACACCCGCTGTAATCCCCCAGCCAGAGCCACTTACGCTGCATCTCTTCGCTTGCTTCATGCTCCACATCCAGCTGCTGCTAAGACTCACCATTAGCTGTGGGACTTCAGAATAGTTGCTGGCTCTCTGCTAGACTGGGTGATCCTGCTGTGAATCCCACATCCTTATCTAGCTCTGCCTCTTAATCTATAGCTTCATCCTCCAGGTTAAGTCCTCTTTCTGCTGACTCTGTGCTTTTGGAAGTATCCATAGGGTTCTTGGCAGTGGAGGTGGAGTCATCCCCCAGGGACTGAATCTAGTTCTTTATTAATACAACATGTCCTGGGTGCAGCACAGAATGACCATTTGTCTCCCTCACCATAGCGTATGACTGTATCAGCCCCTATATCTTTGTTCTGCACTGCAGTGTGTCCCCATCATACCACTTTCCCACACAAGGCTCAAGAAATGTGACTGTATATAGCCCAGTTCCTGAATGACTCCTTGCCCCACACAGTGATAAGATCCAAAAGCTCTGCCTGGTCTAAGCAGGAGAGTGTTTGGAGTGATAGCCAGCCATGATCAGCTGAAAAGAGGTCATGAGAGCACCCCATGCTGAGCTAGCCAGTAGGAAATGAAATTGTAAGGGGAAGGGGCAGATTTTGCTGTTTACCTGGCTGCAGAGCAGTGGAGTTCAAAGCACTGTCCAGAGTGGCTATTTGGGCACTGTGCGAAACATCCTAGAGATCAACTGAGGCAACAAGAACAACAAAAAGGCTCCAATGGTATACACTGCATGACTGTCGACAGCAAAGGGAAGGGCTGAAAAAACAAAACTACCTCACAGAAATGGAAGTTTTTTGTCATCAAAACTGGGCATTTTTCATGAATTTTGTTGCGTTGCAGTGTGAACACTATTGAAGTTTTGTTGCCCCAAACTGCTTTTTCGTGACAACATTTGCCAGTGTAGACATGCCCTAACTATCTGTTTTTAAGATATTGATGCTGGAATAAAACAATAATTTCAATAGTTCCTTTGAATTTTGGTCCTGTCTCACTGTAGAAGTCTTGGCGAACTCCATCAGCTTGCTCCTCAGTTGATGACAAATCTAGTTCTGTGGCAGATTTTTCTGAAAAAGCATCACAAGATTCAATCCATGAAAATGATGAAGAGGATGATGAAGAGGCAAATAAAACTCTAGTAAAGCCAGAGTTTACAGGACTTTGGAGTCAAGACTGTAACTTATACAAGGTAAACCTTTTAATTTTTCATTTCATCCCCAGCATTTTTTCCACTATTAGTTTCTTGGCAATTGGCCTCCTCACTGCTTTTAGAAGTTTTCTAACTCTTGTTAGCACTGGGTGAATGTGCATTTAAAGTCCAGCATGAAGAATTCATTTGAAAGTTGTGATTTAAAAAAAGTACCTGCACAGGCAAATCTTTACAGAACCACTAATGTCCTGAAAAATTTATCAAAGTAGTTGAAATTTGCCACTATATTCTCAAAGTGTTTATTCCATTATATAGAGAAAATTAACTGGCTTAGTTTAGATTCAAGATTTGTAGAGACATATATCACTTCATGTTTGCTGGTTTGTTTGACTTTTGAAACTGAACATGACATTCTGTTGAGTTAGTAATGAAGATCATTTCATGTGGAAAACATTTTTTTCACTCAATGCTTGGCAGAGAAAGTACATATTTCAGTATAGAAAAGAAACAACGTTTAGGGCTCTGATAAAAAATAAATAATGTACATATGCAAAGTGGAAACTGATGTTTTCGTAATGCCACCAAGCATTTGCACATTGTCCTAAGTCACATGCCTTCCATAGATGTCTTTTTTGAGTCAAATGTGACCTTGAGTGTAGATTTAAGAATCAAAGAGCACCTGCAGTAAAAATTTATTCTCTTTCCATAGAAAAAATAGATTGGCATCAAAGCTGAGATGGTTATAAAGTTAGTTGACTTCCTCGAGCAATCAGTCACTCGGGATTTTCAGAAAAGGCAGGTTTTGCTGTATACAATAGACAGAACATAGTGTTGCTCAGGTGCAAAGTACAGAACAAATGGAAGATTCTTCATACAAAAATTGGGAGGCTGACTTCCAGCTAAAGGGAAGTAGCAAAGAAAGAAGCCAAACAAGGTTGACAAGATTCCAGTCACAGGCTCCTCTAGCAGCTATGGCTTTCATCTCTCATAAAATATCTTTTGTAAGCTTTATATGGCCTCTGAAGCCTTTGCTAGTTGAAGTCAACAGAGTTGCACATTAGGGATAAAATTGGCTTGTAGTGTTTCCAATGAACTAGCAGGCATAGTCTTACTCTGGTAAACTTAAACAAAATACAGGACTATGTAGCACTTTAAAGACCAACAAGATGGTTTATTAGGTGATGAGCTTTCGTGGGCCAGACCCACTTCCTCAGATCAAATAGTGGAAGAAAATAGTCACAGCCATATATACCAAAGGATAGAATTTAAAAAAGTGAACACATATGAAAAGGACAAATCACATTTCAGAACAGAAGGCGGATGCGGGGGGGGGGGGGGGAGGAAGGAATGTGAATGCCTGTGAGTTAATGATATTAGAGGTGGGGAAGGGTAGATGTCTGTGAGTTAATAGTATTAGAGGTGATAATTGGGGAAGCTATCTTTGTAATGGGTAAGACAGCTGGGGTCTTTGTTCATCCCCCTGCAGAGAGTGTCGAATTTTAGCATGAATGCCAGTTCAGAGGATTCCCTTTCAAGTGCAGATTTGAATGTCTTCTGAAGTAGGATGCAGGTGAGTAGGTCATTGAGACAGTGTCCTTTCTGGTTGAAATGGCAAGCAACTGTTTTTTCTTTGTGATCCTGTCTAATGTCCGTTTTGTGGGCATTGATTCTTTGGCGAAGTGTCTGAGATGTTTGTCCAATATACATAGCAGACGGACACTTTCGGCACATGATAGCATATATTATATTTCTGGAGGCGCAGGAATATGTATTCTTGATCTTATAACTAATACTATTAACTCACAGACATCTACCCTTCCCCACCTCTAATATCATTAACTCACAGGCATTCACATTCCTTCCCCCCCTCCGCCGCATTCCCCTTCTGTTCTGAAATGTGATTTGTCCTTTTCATATGTGTTCATTTTTTTTAATTGTATCCTTTGGTATATATGGCTGTGACTATTTTCTTCCACTATTTGATCTGAGGAAGTGGGTCTGGCCCATGAAAGCTCATCATCTAATAAACCATCTTGTTAGTCTTTAAAGTGTTACATAGTCCTGTATTTTGTTTCAGCTACACCAGACTAACACGGCTACATTTCTATCTGGTAAACTTAGTTCAGTTCCATGAATCTTAGCACAATAGGTTGTCTGGAAAGAAATCCCATTATTTTGCAGTCTGTAAAATTCTGTAGACGACTAAATCTTTGGATTGCAATTCCAATTAAATCATTACTTTGTTCGATTGGTTGATGGATATTGATCTCTCTGTAACACTAACCAGTATGCAAGTGGAACAACAGAGACAGCACAGGCCTGTGTAAAAGTGCTGAAGCAGTTCCTCATTCAGTGGCAACAGTATGTATTTCCATTAAGCCAGTACTGCCATTCATACTCAAGAGTCAGGTTTTGCTCTTAGGCTATGTCTACACTGTAGAGCTTTTCCAGGATACCAGAGGTATCCTGGAATAGCTCTGCTGCATCCAAGGAACAAATCTGCTTTTTCGGAACAGTTTCTGAAAAAGCAGACGTTCTTTTGGCATCCCTGTATTCCTCTCGGTGAGAGGAATAAGGGCTGTTCCGAAAGAGGAGTTTTCTCCTGAATTTGCCCCCGTGTAGAAGGGTCACATTTCAGAAAAGCCTCTTTTGGAAAAAAAAGTGGAAAAGATACACAAATTGCGAACCGCAATTTACGTATCTTTTTCCGACTTTTCTCTGCAGGGTAGACATAACCTTAATTACATCAGTGTAAACCTGGAGTAACTCCACCAACTAGTTTACTGTTTAAAAAAATCCTTTTTTTCCCTTTGAGACCATTGCTCCCAAGGTACTTTGAGAACTTTGGCTAGCAGGCACCATAAAGTGTAAAATAATGCATTATTGATGCTAATTTCTGTGTACATACCACACTAGCATGTGACCAAATGAACACAATATTCAGACACCCTGGGAAGCATTACAGAGCTACACTATGAAAGGGACATGCTTAAAAACAGGAACTATTCTTAAAGTTAATGGTGCCACTCCAGATACATGCTAATGTAGCGGATGGCAGTGTCTGTCCCTCTGTCTCATTGAGGGTGTTTTGCCTAGTTGAGGGCTATGTAAGGACTTCTGGATTTGCTCTCGTATTTTCTAAGCATCTAACCTTTTTGCAGTGGTAAAGAGATTTCATGTCCAGATGCTGATAACACAGAATCTCTCATTCACTCTTTACACTATGTTAAACCCAGAGAGTGAGAGGCGGGTGTGCAGCTGTCAACATTTTGTTGCTTTTTGGCTAGTAAGCAGCTGGGTTTCTGGCTCCCTCCTACTCAGAGACTAGATTTATTTATTTATTTATTTTTCAGTGCATAAGATGTGCATATAGTGCTGTGACATTACCCAGGGCACAGTCTGGACCAGGGGTGGGCAGTCATTTTTTGATGAGGGGAGAGGCACTCCAAGAATTTAGTTAAGTGGTCAAGGGCCACACTTTTCTATGATATTAATGGAGGGAGTCGGTGATGGAGGTTGAGTGCATTATACAAGAACCTGGAGATATTCAATGAAAATGAAAGGCAATGTGTTTAAAACTGATCAAAGGAAACTTCCATACAGCACATGCACCTAGGCCCACTGGGAGCTCTCTTTCCATTACTGATGTTTACATGGAACATAAAAGGTCTGATTCCTTTTCAGCTGGCTGAAGCCCAGAAGGCACATTTTCTATCTTTTTTGATTTGCTTACAGTGATGGACAGACAGAATTTACCCTCCAGCTTCTGGTTGCTATAATGAGGCAATAGAAAAACTAATGTGATTTGTTATGATGATACCCAGGTGTTTTGATTACTAATTGCATCATTTTTAGCCATTTTCCACTTGCTTAAACTGCAGGCTATAGTTTGGTAACCAGCAACAAACTGCCATTTGGGCTTTAGCTGAGTTTGGAATTGAAACAAGGGTGGAGAGGATCAGAAATGGCACATAAAATTCCTCCTCAGGAGAGCGTCCTGTAATGAATATTATGATGTGGATGGAACTTTTGGAAGAATGGAATGCTAGTAATCAGAAAGAGAACTTAAAAGGAAGGGATGGATGCTTAAATATCTCATTCAACATTTCCTCCTATCTGTTCAGTTCACTACCACTTTACCTCTCAGACAGGCATCAGTTTTCAGTACTTGAATTCTGCTGTTCCTCTCCTTGTCCCTTTAAATGTAAAAAGAGAAAAATCTAGAGTAAGTGAGAATTACATACCAGAATTACATACATGTTCAACACCGTGCAGGCTCATTTTATTCATGCTTTTGAAAAATGGACCCTCTAATCTTTCTTTTGAATGATAGCTTCTTTAACTTTTCCTAAAAGGGGCAAATTCTACTTTTTGATAAATTTACCCACCTCTGTTGAAATTCCATGCATGCACGTAGAGCAGAGCTGGCAAATATATTTGGTTAACTGACAGTATCATTTTCTTTTCTTACTGTCTAGACAAAGAATGTGTTGAACCTGATTTTCAACAGGCCTCAGATTAGCCTTTAATTCTGAATGCCTAACCATTTCTCAGTCTACATGCTTCATTTGCACATACAAATCAACTAGTAACATACACAGCTGTCCAACTGGTGCCTGCTAATAATAATTGTGTTTGCTGGAACAGAGCTAAGTCACAAATTTGTAAGCTAAAAATTAGGTTCTGTTCTGAAAATTTGGTGGACTAGAAGAGTGTACAAACATTTCTGTAAACTGCAGTTTCTTATTCATAAATTACCATTTTTATTGGATTTAATTATTAGGTGCCAAAAGATGAAACAGATCCAAAGCCACTAGGTGCAAGTAAAATGGAAAGAAAGATTTTCACTGAAAACTTGGAGAAACTCAGAAGTGGAATTATTCACAAACAAGTTGTGTCTGGTCATGAATTTAAGGGATGTCCTTTTTATAGCAAACCAAGTCTCATTCACTTCAAGGTTGGTGCACATTTAGCATTCTGGCTTTGTGTATTTGCTGTGTGTACATACCAGTGTCTCATTCAAAAGCACATTGCAATCAAAGGCAAGACTCCATTTGACTTAAATGGGCTTCCAGACTTTAAGGAATTAAAAGTCAGAAAAATCAGCACATAATCTGAAGCAGCCTGAGGCAATACACTATGTGATTCTTGTTAGGCTAAGTTGCATGCTAATCAATTAAAAGTAAATTACTTAACATAACTGTTTCAAGAATATGTGGTATAAGTACAGTATTAATGTAATAACAAGTTGCTTGAAGGAAGTCTTGTATCCCACTGTCAATTATAATTTAATTAGGAACAGGAACAAAAACTTTCCAGTATTCAACATAATTTCACATTCTCCTCCCTCCCCCCCACCCACCATGCTCTGTTACCTCTGACAGAGCCAGTTCTTGGCCATTATGAAATGTTCCCCAAATAGGCACACTTCAATGACTATTTTGTAGCATCAAATATGAACCCAACTTTTCAGCCAGCTACATCCCTACTGATGGTCATTGTGGCAAAGGTTATTCCTTCAAGGGACATGGGCGAGCTCTGTGGTGGGTACATAGTTGACATATAGACCATCCTTCCCAAACTGTATGCCCTGCTTGGGAATACCTCTTAGTGTAGAGTACTGGAGGAGTGGCCTCTCATTGGGAGTAGAGAGGTAGTAGAATTGGGGTGGAAATATTCTCTCTCGTGTAGCCTTTCTGCTGTGGCTTTTCATATACGTGGGAGGAAACATCTAATAGGAAAAGCACAGGGCTGGTTCTAGTCCTAGTTCTTCCTCACACTACTAAGTTGTGTGATCTTGGGCAAATTACTTCATTACTTTAATACTTCAATTTCTTCATCTGCAAAATGGAGATAATACTTCTCCAGAATTACCAAATATGCAGATGTTAACTCCTTAGCAAACCTGTTTGGGTTTGCTACACAGCACCAAATTTTAAAATAAAGCACTATTCCAACAAATCCCTTAATCCTCGTGGAACAAAGGTTACAGGTACATCGGAATAGCACTCCTGTTATTTCTAAATATATTTCAAAATAATGGGCACGTTTAAAGATGTGGAATTGCTATTTTGTGATACTTCTGGTATCCCAAAATTGCACTGCTGTCTAGATGTATCCCTTAGTTCTTAGATATTTTTATGTCTGAGGACACGTAGAGCAAGTGCCAAGCCTTTATTGTTCCCTGCTATTATAAAACTATTTTATTTTGTCAGTTCATTGCAATGCTGCCCTTCTCAGTTTTTGGAGAACTAAATATGTTTTACTTAAAGATTCTGATATGCCTTGTGAAGCTTTCAACTGGTGGCATCTCAGCAGTGAATTTCTGAAAATTCAGAAAGCATTTTGCCATGTTGGACATTCCCATTCCTCCCTTGCAAATATGCCCAAGGAAAACAGTGAACATGGTAGAAAAGCGAGGTGGCTATATCCAAGTAGATACACAACTCTCTGAAAATATCAAACTGAAGTCATGGTTCTGGTGAGATGCGCAAAGTCTTTATAACTCTTAACATGTCTCATCAACAAGATTGAAAGCTCTGCCTTTATGTGCACTGTCCTTTGGCAAACACTCCAGTGATAATTTCCTATTTCTTTTCCTATGGAAGTAAACAAATGATGACAGCCTCAGAAGCAGAAGAGGGACAGAGGAAGTCTTCTTATACCTTTTTCTGTTGTGGCTGGAGTTCCAATACAAAACTTTAGTAATAAAGTTTAAGCTCATTCAAAAAATATGCTTGGCGTGACATTCCTATTACTTCAGAAAAGTTTCTGGCCTGATTTTCACACAGTAGCTTCCACTGTTCAGCCCATTTGAAAATCTGATTATGCCATATGACAATTGCTGCTGAAATTTTTTGAAAATCTTATTCTAATTTTGGGTGTTGAGCACTTTTAAAAATCTGACCATTAGATAACAGGTGAGATTTAAAAGTATCCCCATGTTTTAAAAGACCAGAAGATCAGTTCTTAACTCTTTTGCATCTTCCCCTTTTCTATTATTTCCTTTCTCTTTACTTGCACAATAATTCCTATTTCCTTGCACTGTGACTGCAGGCAAGGTGTCTAGCTAAATGGGAGCACTCTTCTTAGGAGTCCCAGATGAATCAGTAAATTATTACTGTGCACCTATACACCTATGCTCTATGTATAGTAGATGATATTCACATTTGTAAACATTTTGCAAATTGGTGTTAATTATTGCTGGGTAATTATTTAGCTTACCTTTTTAACAGTAGGTAATTCATTGATGACAATGCAATTATAAAAACAATGCTAAAAGGCAGTAAATAATACAAGTTGAACCTCTTTAGTGTGGCATCTTCAGGACCTGACCAGCACCGAAGCAAAGAATTTGCCAAACCACAGGAAGTCAATATTGTCTAAGAGCATTAGCAACACTTGCCTTCCCTACTGGGTTCTTATAAGACATTTAGGGGTAAATTGGATCTAAATAACAACAAAGAACACTAAGAGCCAGGACTGGTGGCTGTAAGCAAGCTTTATGGGTGTGACGTAGTGGGGGTACCTGGCTGGTTTCTATGCTGCTGGCTCTGGGGTAACCCCCACTGGCTGCCGTGGGTACCACGACCCA